AAGAACATCACAGAAACCTACTTTGTAGTTAAATTCAAACACAGCCTTCGGCTACGAACTTTTGCATTAAAATTTCTTTTGGTGATACATAGTTCCAGATGTCCAGTATAATGAAAAGATGGATTAATTGCAAAACTATCCCTAAGTTGTAAACTTACAATGGTTGCTGGATACTTTGGCAGTACAAGCATGTGACGGAGGCCCATTTGCCTAAACAGCACCATCGCCTTCGCCAGTGACATATTCTCCACCACACTGTACGGCGTCATATTGGTCAAGGGATATAAATCAGCAAACATCCCCATTTCGTCCCCAGTCACACTCACCTCCTCAATCTCCCCCGACCTTTCATCCAAATCAGTCGAACTAATCTTTTCCCTCACTTCCCACTCATCCATTCTCCTTTTTTCTTGCAGGAACCATTTCTTCTTCAAAATCAATACAAGGTGTGACCTCAAGATCAACCCATGCAGTTCTCCTCCGTCCACTACCGGAAAACCGTTGTGCGTTGTATTTTTCAACACCTCAATAATTCTGCTCACTTTCTCAACCCCACTCAGACTAACAACTCCCGGCTTTACATCAACTAGCTCACCAACCGTTACATTCCTCATCCACGGCTCAGGATGCGCATCAAGAAAAGGTAACCCTTTCATTTCCAGTATTAATTCGTAGATGCTCGGGTTGAAACAGTCGCCCACCGTTTTACCAATCAGTAGAACCAACATTGTGATGGGTAGGAGAAGTAGGTTATTAGTGAGCTCAAGGAATATCACACATAGCGAGACAGTCATTCTCATGGAGCCTGCCATGAGGGAAGCGGCCCCAAGCACAGCGTACAGGCCCTGGTCGATCCTCGTGTATGGGCCCATAACAAGGCCCAACAAGCGGCCGTAGGCCGAGCCCATTAAGATAATGGGGAGGAAGAGGCCCGACGGGACGGCGATGCCGAAAGTTATGAGGCCCAACACGCAGTAGAGGGAGAAGAAGATGAGGAGAGAGAAGATTTGGAATTCTTTAGGAGTGTTTACGGAGAAGATGTTGCGGACTGCATCGTCATTGGTGGTGAGGAGGAGAGTGGCCAGGTCATTGTAGTGGCCGTTTGGGCAGTTGAACTGTTTGAAGTTGCCTGATCGGCCAGTTGTTGGGCAGGAAGAGTGTAGGCGGGAGGAGTCACAGGGTTGGCATCTCGCGAGGAAAGGGAGGCCATACGTGCATATGGAGGTAAAGATTGATACGGTCAAACTGAGAAGGATTTTGTGAAGCTTTCCCTTCCTGCGTAATGGCATTGCGCATTGTCAAAATCGGAAGGTGTTAGTTAAATGGAACTTCTGCTTAAGGTATCAGTAGATTAGATTCTCTGTGATTACGATTTTTAAGGAATAGGGCTAATTACATAAACTTTAGATAATACAAAAAAGTGAATCATTGCAAAAGGTGCCATTTAAATTTGGCCAAATTACAGAAAAACCCTGCTAATTTGGAATTACAGAAAACACCCTCTAGCTAAATTTGTCTTACATTTTGCGCCTGCCTTTGTGGAGTTAACAGAAAGTGCTGGAGTCATCGAATATTTTTTGGCAATAGTTTTCTAAATGTTACAACATCAATTTCATTCTTATATTTCAACTTATGTATACTTCAATTTTCTAGATATTACAAACTGCCAGGAGCTAAGATGAGGCTGTATATGTAATATTTTGATAATATATGTTAATATAGATATTCAATATTTCATCATATTCGTGTACGTGACATATAGTGGGGTAATATTTAAGACAAAATCACCTCAACGTACAATTTTGGTATTCTTTGTTCTTTATATTTTATTATTGGCAAGTACCCAAAACTTCATGGATATATTTGTAGTTGTTCCTCGTAAGAAATCCAGTTACTTCCAAAGTCGAATGCCATCAGCAAATATTGATTACATTCTACCCCTAAACTCCGACAGGAGCACAATTGAGATTCAAGCACATCAGAAAAACGAGCCTTACCGGTTGATAACATTGTAAACCTTGAGGACCTTAAGGAGAAGGTGGTTGTAAAGGCCCCCCAACACCCCACCAATCACACCTATCACAGCCACAGGGATAATATCCACCGCGTGATACCTCACGGTAACATCGCTCACGTCAAACATGATCAACCCTCCTTGACCAAACAGCCCGCAACCCCCAGACTTGCAGTACTCCACGAAAGCCCTCAGCACCACAACCACAACTGCTGTGCTGAAAAAAGTCCTCCAAAGGAGAGCGCTCCTCCACCACGTGGCCACCTCTTCGAGGGCAAAAAGGACTCCTCCCACTGGGGCCCGGAAAGCTGCACAGACGCCGGATGAAGAGCCACAGGTGATGAGGTCACGCCTGTCTCTGTCGTTGTTGAAGTGTCTTCTCAACCAGTGCCATTTTGCGCGGTGGTTGTTGGGCCCACCTTGGCCCAATAGGTAGGCTATGCAGGTCCCGATGTGGACCAATGGGCCTTCTTTCCCGAGATCTAAGCCCGCGGCTACGGCTCCAATGCTTCCGATTATCTGGAATGATGGTGAGTGAGATGAATAAAGTGTGATATGAATCTTTGGCGTATTATTATTAATTAATTGATATTTTTTTTTACAGGGATAATTGTCGTTTGGTCCACTCTTGCTAGATTTTTTCTTAAATTCAGTGGTGAGTAATACTCTTCCGCACTTGATTATGTTCAAACCGTAAATTTATGATTGAAGATCTCCTTAATCCTCACCCGATGATGCTCAACTCTCATTAGATTATTTAATCTTGGACTAAATGATAATGAAGAAAAGCAAAATGGACAATTGGCACTAGTTTTATGCCTGACTACATTATATTCTTAAAAAAATGAGGATAAATTGTTTTGATGGTAATATTGGAAGTTAATAAAAGCACAAGTTACTAGTGGTAAATGGTAATATTGAACATCTCCTTCTCTGAACTCAAAACAGCCGTCACAGCCTCGTGGATTCCTTATCTTCTTAGATCAAAGTTTGATTATAGGTTGGTGTGAACCATGATATCGCTGTCGGTCTTTAATCGTGTATGACACCAAAACATTAGAAAATGAGATGCTAATATCTCTGAAAAAGGTACCTTCACAATCAATGTTGTTGCACCAAACATATTGGGTGTGTCAACTCCATTCAAATAAGCTTTTATTTCAGGAATTCCTGGACCAGCAGCAGTAGGTGCAAAACAAGTGCATAAAATGGTAGCTACCAATGTCAGAAGAAAGTTAACTCCAGCCACATACACTAGTCCCATTATGTACCTTCATCCATCAAACTAAATGTCAGTCACTAATGTTATAGTTCTGTCACTTAAACAAGCAAAAATTATTATTATCATTGTTATTATCATAATAAATGATTTTATCTTATCGATGATNTTTTTTTAATATGATAAAGACAATTGGAATAGTGCACTGGTTTCTGAAGATTTTGTAATGTTGAAGGTAATATTACTGCACCTTTCCTGCTCGATATACTGGACCACAGCAAGGAGTTTGTAGCCCGCAATATTTTCAACGGCTAGATTGATGAGAGTGGCTACAAGTCCTGTTAGAAGCCCAACAAGAAATGCCAGCAGCCATTTGAAGAAGATATGCTGCAATACTTCAACTTGTGATCTGCTCCTCCAGTCTTGCTTGAACAGGTCATTTTCATTTATCCTGTACCGATCACAAACCAAATCTATATTAACATTCTGAATAACCATGCAACTATTGAGATGATAAGGTATTTAAATATCACAAAATCTGATCTTACTCATAATCCAAGCTCTCCACGTGAGACAACGTGGACCCAACTATGGCGAGCGGACTCAAAGAAAATGTTTGATTTCTTTTGAGCAGAGGCTGATGAAGCCTGTTGCTTTCAGGGTCATTTTCTTCCCTTTCATCTCCTTCCTTTTGTATGCCAGCTGCTTCCTCTTCTGGTAACTTGTTAAAATCCTCCATGAGTGCAGATTTTTTATTGCTGATTTTCGAAAAGAAGCAACTGTGTGGCAGTTAACCAGCATGCAGTTCTAAATGAAAAAAATGAGCTTGTTCCTTAGTCTTTGGAAGAAATAACATGTTGGAATTTGGTTCAGAATCAATCACTGTTTGTTTGCCTCGACATAGTTAATAATGCTAACATTGACTTGGGGGATTTTCATATATTATATTATGTACAAGGGCAATGCTGTGTTGGAATGTTCTCCAATTTTGAAAAGTGAATAGATTGGAGAAATATTGAATGATAATTTTAGTAAGGCTCGCCTTCTTGCCGGTGCTATCTAGCCCTTCGGTGGAGTTTTTAGTTTCGGAGTTTGTATCTGTAGCTCTTTATGTTCGTGGGTTGCTTTGTGTTGGGTGTGGCTTGTGTGCTAGGTCGTGGTTTGGGCGCTGGTTGCCCACGTTGTGTAGGGGAGGTATTAGTCTATTTTAGCTAGGTGTGTGTTTAGTTTGTTTTATGTTATTCTCCACTGGTTGGACTATGATCTCTACTAGTTGGAGTAGTAGATAGCCCCTTGTGGGTGTTTTTGTTTTTGAGTGGGAGTAGGCGTACAACTAACGGTTTCAACACCCCTTTTCAAGTTAGCTGTCGTTAGTCTGGTACCCTATTCCTCGGGTTGTAGTGTTAATCTAGGGCACTATGCTAGTGTTCCCCCCTGATTCCATCGGGTGGTGGGTGGTGGGTCAGATTGGCTAGTTAGCCAGCGTCTTTAGTAAATTTCTCCTTTTGAGGGTTTTGAGTAATACAATCTATCGTTTTGAAAAAGAAAAAGAAAAAACGAAAATATGGGATTCTTGGGGTAATGGGATGGCCTTCAAATAAAATTTTATATGTTATATATGGGTGTGTGTTTAAAATTTTAAATCATAAGTTAGATAATAAGCATATCGCATTTTATATATTTTATCATTAGTTAAAGTAAATAATCTAAGTATAAACTATTTAACTTACATATTAATCTCTATAATGACAATGATTGCAGTGATGTAATTTATGCGATTTGGACCTTTGGATAAAATAATATTAAAATGATCATTATAGCTGATAGGGTAAATGTCTTATAACTCCGGTCTAAGACTTAAGACACTTCTTCTTCTTCTTCCTAACTTCAAGTCGACCTGAGTAGTTAGCCGGAACACCTGCAAAGATGTCGGGGATCTTTTCGGCGCAAAAGTTCCAACGATCAAATTAGTATATTAAACAAAGAGAAATTCAGTTCATTATTGGTCAAGATGGGTTAATAACAATGAGTTGTGATTATAATTGTGGATACCCCTTGATAAGAAACCTTTACCTACATATATAGATGAAATAATTTGATGTCCAAGAGTCTTAACCGGAGTTGATCTATGAGTAAATTACAGTGTTCTATAAGTCGTTAGGCGCTCGACTAGTACTTAGATGGAGCTTAAAAATTAAGATTAAATACTTTATTTTTTATTTATTTTTACTACCTACAAAATAAAATTATCTCAACTTATAATAAACCAACACACTTAAATCCATAAAATAATATTAATCTATTATAAAGAAATGATAACGAAATAATGTAATTAGTATTTTTAAAAAATAAAAAATAAAAAATCGTCGCCGAGCCCGCCTAGGAGCTCCTAGACTCATTTAGGTCCGCCTAGGCATTGCCTAATTGCCTGACCGATTTTTTCAGTCGATTTATACAAATCGAAGACGTCCGGACAGTGCTAAGGCCAATTTTTAGTACACTGGTATTTTATTGACTAGTACCCAAGGTCGATCGTCGATCTAGAGATCTTGCATTATAATCAAATCGATATGTCAACCAGGTCGTCACTCTGAACTCTGTATCGAGTCTAACTCTAATGAGCTATAGTTCTAAGTGGAGATCCAGTCTCCAACACCTACGATGCAATTGGGTCGGGCTAAGGTCTCGTTAGTGGCCTATCAATAACAATTGTGTATGAAATTTGGTTATGCCATAAAAATAATTAATTAATTTTAATAAAAAAATTATGTGGAAAATGAAAACAATTGTCATACTTTTTTTGCCAATAATTATAGTGATTGATTATATCCAATTATAGGTACAACACAGTGCAACATTAATAAACATGACGTGTGGTAGGTACCTAATTGAGGCATAAGAATCTTTTGGGTTGTATGTTACGAAAATTATTTTTTCTTAAATAATATGCATATACAATTGTTTTGTGCAAATAGCATTTTCTTTTTTCTATGCTGAGCTTATCCGCCAACTAAATTGTTCATTGCCGAGTGACATTGACTATACTCGACTACTTAGATATTTAGAATGACAATTTTGTTAGGAACATTACCAACCTTGCTCTTTTTAACTTTGAGCTATATCATCTAGAGGAGGACTATCTAAAAGTTTCTTCAACTCCAATAGCTTTACAAACTATTTGTAAGATAAAAAATAATAGTCATTCAACAAATTGATATTAGTTCATGAATTCGAACTTAATGATATATAAGATTTGAAGTACCAAAGATATAAATAGTATTTCCTTGAGTTGATATGAACTCACAAATAAAAATAAAAAGAAAAAATGGATAAAAAAGTTGATTTTAATAGCTAGGTTTTTTTTTTTCAACGATTAACAATTAATATAATAAAACTCAATAAAAAGTACACATCGTGCGATCAAATGATCACAAGTTCAAAGAGTAAACTAAGTTCATCGGGAATAGCACAACATTCTTCCCTTACAAGCCTCTTTGCCTAACAATAGACTAGAAGCACATAAATCAACAGAACAAACAAAGGAACTAAGGAAAAGACTTAACCAACAAATTTTCTGCTAATTAAGTCGCTCAATTAGATGTAAAATTTTGTGGTCATTAACTGTACCAATATTTAATAGAGGGGTTGTCTTATTCCTCGTCATGTGTTTTGTAACTTTGTTCCATCTTGTTCAAGTGGATAAGCACCATCTTGGAACAAAATCTAAGTGGATCTTACGGTCTCAATTTTTTCAATCTAACGGTCTGCAGAAAATGTGACCTTTCTATAGTCTCCGAGTCACTTTATTTAAATGCAAATTGACCTCTGTGGTCACGTCGAATCTCTGCCAATGATTGAGCAATATATTTTGCTGAACATATGCACATTCGGCACCATATCCATTCTTAGAAGCTCCATGGGCCCTTCTCCATGGGCCTTGGGGCCCATCATTTTCCAAGGAGAAGTATGGGCTACAAGTTTGCTGATCAATGAATTCTTCTATGATCTAGTATTTTTCTTAGTAATATATTCTATAATTTTCGTTTGGAAAGTGAGACTAAGTATATTCGATTACTTAATTCTCACGCCAGTTTGCTGTTTCATTTTTTTATAAGAAACACCTCATATTTCAAAGGATGAATTTGACTTTAAAGGGATTTCACACCTATGAAATTAATTAGAAGCCATGATTCCCATACGCCACATAATTGTACATCAAGTATCATGCTTGTTTTGACCTGAAGAAATTGATAGCTTTTTTTTTTTTTAGTTGAGCTTTCAAGTTTAGGTCATACATTTAGGATCCGTCGGTGGTATTGTGATTATTTTGTGCATGATATAACACAATTGCATAATATTTTCATCTTATTAACATATATGGTTCTAATAAATAGGCCCTTTTAATAACTCATGTCCTAATTAATTATTCAGATCTTTTAGTATGGATGCGCTGAAATATGAGACAAAATTGATTTTAATCGTTTTTGACCGATTGAGTTTTTTGGTTTCCAATCTTCTAACTCAAAATCAAACTCAACATAACTCTCTTCAATACTATAAATATAATTAAATAATATCAATCAATCATTCTCAGACATCACATCAACTTTAGTCCACTATTCATCCACTCACAATCTATCATTTCCAAAAACATTTCTACACTTTTATATCACACCAACTTTAATCATTACATTTTAAAATTATTTAATTACAAACTCAAAATCATCCACTAAATAAACTTTATTCAAAATAACTCAGTTGTTGAATTCATATGCAATTGCATCACGCCCTAAGTATTCCACCCCTCGGGTGAGATCTACAATCTATCATTATTTTACTTTTAAATTTACACACATATCTTCAAAAATACACACTTTTTTCACAATCCATCTTCAGACGCCAATTGCCAGACTCGCTCCGCCCCGAAAGTCGTCCAGAAGAGTAAGCATATGACCTACGGGCCCTTGGATGAATCGGAGTCCCTTGGAATACGTAGCCTAAGCTATGTAGTTAAATGAGTGAAACAAAATATTGAGGTTAGCTTTGAAATTTGAATTTCTCAACTTAAGTCAGTGAGGCAGCAATTTTCATATCTAGGCCGAATGAGTGGCCATGAACTAAATTAGAATTGGGCTGCCCAAATAAGTTGAAGGATGCGCATGGGCCCTATTTGTTTAATGTATGTAGCTACTTAAGTGATGACTTATAATAGCGTGGCTGCCCTTCAGGATTGAGATGCACGAATCGTAATTTTACAAAAAAAATAAATTTTTATTTGTAATTTTAACGCTTAAGAGAGATAAATATAATAAATATTTAACAGTACAATAGTTAAATATACATTAAAAGTTTAAATATTAAATAAATAGGTACTATATATAAACCTATCTTTAGAATAGTAATATATCATATAATAAATTTAAGATCCGCTTTTACCAAATTAGTATAAATGTACAATATATTACTATATTTACTATTTCAGCCATATTATAATATAATAAACGAGTCTTGTCGATTCAAGTTCAAAAAGATGGATTAATTATTAATTTTTAAGCCTTAATGAGAGAAGGAGGAGTCAGCCACAATGTTTAGGAGACGTTTGGACCAAGTACTACAGTAGAAGATCGTGTATGTAGATGTTGTTCTATATTTTGGTCCCATTGGTTGGGTATCTTCTTAAAGTCGTCATTAGTTAAATGGCAGAACTTAAATAAATTCTATATTCTGTTGGGCATAGTATTTAAGTTGTACATGAACGAATTCAGTTTTCGATGATCATCATAAATCCAACACCGAAAGAGTTGGTGTAGAGGCTTAGCCTTAGATTTGGAGTTAGGGAACGATGATGTTTTGAATGGGGTTTGAATGGGATTATTTAAGTTATGTGTTGACTTGGGGTACTCTCAGCACTGATGAGGCTACTTTTGGGAGTGGTCATATTGTTCACCAAGTTTTCAGATAAAAGGTTGGTGTTTCAGTGATGGACCCTTCCTCTAGCGTTAATCTATTGACCAATTACATTGTTAATAAGTTTATGATTTTAAACAGGCTTCTTAAGCATGTATTTTGAGTTTATTTTGTGTGTTAATGTTGGTCGGAGTTAGTGTGAAAAATTGTTGGGATTGGTTGGGAGGAAATTTGTAACATAGTTCCTTTAAAGAGTGGTGGGGAGAAGTTTGTAGGATATATGA